TCAAAACGTTTAGTTAGTAAATTTCAGTTTAACACGAAGAAAAAAATTCCAGATCTTTTAATTAAATTCCCAACTTTGTAAATAATAGCATTCATTATGAGATCTCCTATATTATCGAATTGTTCTTTTGTGTGTTGCAGAAGAAAAATTTATTTTATTTTATTTTTTCCGAGTATTTGTGTCTAAAACAAACACTCTGTATATTTGATCTCTAAACTTTACGCTTCTTAGTTAGACGTTGAGTTAAAAGATTATATCATATTTAGCGTTGATCTAGTGAACCATAAACACAGTCCGATTCCCCTGACTCTTCTGTCAGCCACAGTCCAGATGAAATATGTCAGGACGAGAAGAGTGAATGGTTGTTCATGTTTTTAAGAAAAGAGAGTGAGAAAATTGACATACATAGAGATTTCAGTTGTTGTTATCCATTAATATTATTCAATTCAAGATATCACATAACTTTAATTAAGATTTAATTAAATTACATAAAAACTTTAGGAGGCTCACTATTTTTACACAGAAGTGAAATATAAACCGTTGAAAAATAATTTATAAACAATTACTGATGTAATTTATTCATTAAAAAAATCTTGATCATGTTGCTTTTCATGTACACTCAGTCTTTTAGTACTTTATCAACGGTAATTTTCTTTACAGAGGTTTGAAGGAGCGTCGATTTCTATCCGTCTGTTACAGTTGAACACGACGGTGTATCACAATGCAACGTAGACAAACTGATCAACGAATTGAATTTAAATACATTCTTAATACTTTCTTCTGATTGTTGATATTATGAAATCGCGCTCCATAATACCGGGTATTCTTATTAATAACGAAACTATCATGAATTCAAACTCGTCGGATCAATCACATTCACCATCAGTTAGCAGCAACGAGTTATTCGACGATAACAAAGAAAATTGCTTGATTATTAGGGGAAAAATCGAAAACAAAATAATTTTCTCGCCACCAAACAAAGAATGGATGACGAATCTGCTCACTGATCTTAAATTAGTTAGAACAAGAAGTAAATCAGGTAGTTTAAATTTTCCAACTTTTTACGAAAAACATCAAATTACCATCAATAGTAAACCGACGTCAGTAAAAAAAATTGATCCTGTTGTCTTTTCAAGGAAGATATGAGTCCGAGTTTCTGTTATAACGCGTGAAAAACCACCACTTTTAAGATACTTTGAAACGCGTAAGTTATGCCATTTAAGGAGCAAAAAGGCACTATGACTTTGCATGTCCAGTTGACTGACAAATATGTTTGTTAAACAAGAAACTAACATAAAGGATAAAAAATCCGAAATCCTGTTTATATTTTTAGTTTCTGATCCAGCTGTCTCTTGACCCCTCTTTTTATTGCGTAGATGTATAAAAGTGAAAAGAATATTTCAAACCTAATGTATAGTTAGTAATTCCTAATAAATCTTTTCTTTGACTATAACTTGCCTTCAAAAATAATTTTTCAAAAATTTTTGTTAGGTCGTGCATTTGCACTAGGTCTTATGAACTTCTGTAGTTACGATGTCGGCCGAGCGAAAATATGAAAAAAATTAAAATTTTTCACTTAAGTTTTGCTTTCATCTACTCAGCTCCCTTTAATTTTCTAATCTAAATAATCTTTTCAAGAAAAATGAGGTCTACCGTTTGATTTAAATCGTAACACGGCCGATGTTATTGAGCTCTTCTTCTCACCTGTGGGCTTACCTACATTTCCCATCAAAATACGGATCTATCTTATTTATTTACTACCAGTTTAGAAGCTTAAGATATAGCTTAGCTGGAGTAGATGGTTTGCATGCTACCATTCGAGAATTAGTTGTACAACAAGTGTATAAATTCGATTATAGTCATCATGGCAATGAAATTTATTTTGGATGTAGTTCATCCGATTATATTAAACAGTCAAGAATAAATATACCAGAATAAATATATTCAGAAAAAGAAACTATCGCTGCATGCGGTCTGTTAAAAACAAAAATTTGTATTTTTTGAACTGAACGAAATGTGTGGATCACATTGAAATCGGTTCATTTTCAACATTCTGATGTTAAATTCTTGTATTTACGCTGAACTGTAGCAAAGAATCATTTTGACGTCGTAAGGATAGTGGAAAAGGAAGAAGACACGTCGCGACGTGTCTCATAAACTGTAGCTTGATAAACGTCCTTTTATTCTACATACAGATTTATCATATGTATTAAAAATAAATAATAAAATTTGAAATGCTGTTTGTGTTACATATTCACAGATGTCTTTTATTACTGTTTTATCACTTGAGATTCATATGACATTCTGAGGTTAAAGGTTTACACTTGTTTTTAGCTCTCCCGCGGGCTTCGCCTGGTGCAGTTCTTGCCTCGTCATCGCCCCGTCCCTCATCAAGTTTTCAAAAATTATTCTACGCGGGCCCCACCCCGTAAGCTTTCTGTCTCGTCATCGCCTTGTCCATCGTCAACTATTGAAAAAGTTTTTCACCGACATTTTCTTCATCGAATCTGAGTCCGGTGCACTAAATATTAAGATATTAATAATAACAAATTGCCGACGACCAACCCAAGATATTCATAAAAAACCAAATGAAAGAACATTAGAACGACGGTAGAAAACAAAAGAGAAAATAGATAGACTGAATAGATTGTTCTATTAACCCTTTATCCCACTTGGGTCATTTTCGACCTATTCCTAGAAATGATGTAGTGGAGTGACAAAGCATTGGATCAAGAAGCTCTATGAACGTTGTGTAGAGAATGTTGAACCATGTTACCTAGCTCCAACCGCCTGATTTTAGTTGCATTTTTTTTTTTGGGTAGCTGGAGGCAATGTGCAACTTTTTTGCTTATTAGGTGATTAATGTGGTAAGTCTATACAAGAAATCGTAAAAGATAACTTTATTTTTCATCACTTCTTGGCTAAGATATTTGAGTCTGAAAATGGTAAACCTTCAAAAAACTGAAAAAATCTGAATTTCTTTTTAAGATTTCTTTTTCACTTGCACAGGTTGATTATTTTTGTATTCGGGCGGTTGATATATTCTGCTGTGGGCGTCATCTATTTGGAGGAAAGCGTTTAAAGATTTCTTGATTAACGATGTGGGAGCAGCGTCCTTCAGAACAACATGGGTCATCTTTGACCCATTCGGGATGAGTGACATGAAAATTGTTTTTTTTGTGCAGGTATTTTGTTTATTGATATAAGCTACATCATCGTTCTTTTCGTTAGACCTAGACTTAAGTACACGAGCAGTTTATATCAGAAGAGCTTTTAACGTTTAAACACGTTTAAAATACAATTTTCGATATTTGTGGCAATAAAGTGTTTTTCGAAAGTATTTGTGGCAAATCAAGTGTTTTTAATAAATTAAATCTGTCATGAATTGTTTTTCTTCATTTTTCAATACAATTCATGATAGAAACAATTTTCTAGCTTTATACAGACCAGGTATAAAACATACAATTACAAAAAAACGCAACAAAAATCAAATAAGCAAAATATCAAATTTTCATTTCACTCCACCCGAATCGGTCGTAAATGGCCCATTTTGCTCCTCCGCAGTGGAAGAACTTCGCTCAAATTTAACCATACCGTTGTCATATTGAGCACCCACATAAGCTGTTCCTGCGATCAACTCAACACCAGATCTGCTGTATTAGCACTAGGACGTAAAGAATTAACAATTTAACAAAAGGAATAGGTCAAAGAATAAAATAAGAGAGACAGAAAGAGAAAATCCGTAAAATAGAAAATCAGATAACTAGGATGTCCTATACACAGAGCACGTAATACGAAGACAGAATAACAAATAAAATAAGATAGAAATAGCCTTTACAATATACAACTGTTACTGTTAGAGCTTTAGCCTCGTGTGCAAGGTAGATGTCCTCTACTAAACAAACATATTTTTCAAGTGAACTGAATTGAATTCCGTCCAGCGTCTCCATTTTGTCTTTCGCTAAGAAACAAAAAATGTCCTCCGCGAGTTTCGCCTCGTCATGTTTTCAAAAATTCTTCCCGCGGGCTTCGCGAGGATCCGCGTCCATCGCCCACCTCTGTAACACACAGCGTTTTCTTTGAAAGAAAAAAGGTATGACCTTTTCCGGAAAACAGAATATATGTGCACAATTTGAACTTACGTCGGATAACACTGTTTTCTACATTTAACCATATCACCTTCGCGAGAAACTTGAGATAACTTATACTCCTCGTGAACTGGAGCTCGTTTCAAACAACTCAGAAAAGAAAACAACTTTAAAAGAAGAACAATTAATTTAAAATGTTGGGCTTTGAAGAACAAACCACTTTCACAGCTTTTATACTAAGTTTGCCTGTCAGCGAAAATAGCTTCTAGTTGACACTCCCTGGGAGTGCCAATAGACTCACCTATTTTTTTTTATTAATGACTCCCATATCAAGGATTTGGAAAATAGTCGTGTATACTTTCAGTTTTTACGGGTTATATTTTTTATTTTGTCCTCTGAGATTCGGAGATCCGTTTCCACGCTCACAACGCAGAAACCATAAGGAAATAACGCTTCATACTTTCATAGTTTACTCAGGCCATTGGGCTGAATAAAATACTTACAGGCCACGCGTATAATGCAACAGGAAAGAACGGAATAGTTGAAATGAATTGTAGTTTCGTTATATAATTCTTCTAATCACATTTTAATACTATAGTGACAAAATAACAAAGTTCTTTTTCTTTCTTTTCTTTCATAAATGTATATATATATATATATAATATACTTGCTACGTGCTTATGAATTGCAATTTTGTCCAAAAGTAACAATAATTATGAGTTCCACAAATGGTGTAAGCGTTAATAGTGGTGATAATGCATGGGTACGTACAGATAGACAAAAAAAGGTGCTCCTCACATTCAAAAATGAAAGTACACTTGTAACGGGCTTAACGATAGACACCCAGTAAAAGAAGATTGATTCAGTAATTTTAAACTATAGAATATTCATAAATTCTTTATATTTTCATAGATGATGGCATCAACTGCTTTAGTTTATATGATGACACCTGCATTGGCATTTTTCTATGGTGGTTTAGTTGAAAATAAAAATATATTAAATCAATTATTTTTATCATTTATTTGTATGGCCATTGTAACTGTTCAATGGTGTTTATTCGGATTTAGCTTTGCATTTGGACCTGGAAATAACGCGTTCGGATCATTTCAATTTGGTGCACTTCGATTTCCATATCAAAATTCATCAGATCCTACACTTTTCTTTGGCGAAGGAGTTGATAGTTTGAATTCTCCCACATTTCCCATACTTACATTTGCTGCTTATCAAGCGGCATTTGCTGTTGTAACCCCGGCGTTAATTAGCGGGGCTGTTGTTGGACGAATGAAATTATTACCCTACATGTTATTTATTTTTCTTTGGTCAACCTTTTGTTATGATCCATTAGCACGATGGGTATTTTCAAATCAAGGTTGGCTACATCAGTATGGTTCATTAGATTTTGCAGGTGGAACAGTTGTTCATATATCAAGTGGTGTATCAGGCTTTGTTTCAGCTATTATTCTTGGTAAACGTCATGATTATGATCCCAAAGTCGATATGGTTGGGCACAATATACCATTTACTGTTCTTGGTGCCGGTTTGTTGTGGATCGGATGGTATGTCTTAGCTTACCGTTGTTCGTTCTCTTATGGATCACTTTTTACATTTTTTCAGGATTGGGTTTAATGGTGGAAGTGCATTGGCTGCTAATGGTATGTCGTCTTCTTTCTATTTACGTAAACGCATCGACATCCGTTTCTTAGAATGAAATCTGGAATAGAGAACTAAATATCGTATATATTTTCTTTTAGGAATTGCGGCTTTGGCAATGACTAATACAAATACAGCAGCTGCATCAGCTCTCCTTACATGGGTATTGATGGATGCCATACGAGGAACAATATCAGTTTCAGGTGGATGCTCTGCCGTAGTGGTCGGCCTGGTTGTTGTAACGGTATGTTGTTTCTCGTTTATTAGTTTTTGCACATTAGAAAAAGTCGTTCTGTTCGATTGTTTTAAGCCGGCAGCTGGTTTCGTCCAACCCGGTTGGGCACTGTTACTAGGAATTATCGGTGCTATCATCGTTTATTGGACACTACAATTTAAAAAACGTTACTTACATGTAGACGATACTTTGGATACATTTACATGGTAATACAGAAAACTGTCACACNTTGTAACGGTATGTTGTTTCTCGTTTATTAGTTTTTGCACATTAGAAAAAGTCGTTCTGTTCGATTGTTTTAAGCCGGCAGCTGGTTTCGTCCAACCCGGTTGGGCACTGTTACTAGGAATTATCGGTGCTATCATCGTTTATTGGACACTACAATTTAAAAAACGTTACTTACATGTAGACGATACTTTGGATACATTTACATGGTAATACAGAAAACTGTCACACTTACTATCTGGAAATTCAAATTTTTTTCTAACTTAGTCATGGAGTAGGTGGTATCGTTGGTGCATTTTGTACAGGACTTTTCTGTCAAACTGATGTAAACTCATCTGGAGCAAATGGTGCTTTTTATGGCAATCCAATTCAGCTATGGCGACAAATAGCTGCTATTCTTGTTGCATTTGGATTTTGTGCGGCTTGTACAGCGGCAATACTTTTACCAATGCATTTTACATTTGGAATTAAATTAACAACTGAAGATCAAGCACTTGGAATGGATGGAGTCCTTCACGGTGAAAGTTGGAATAATAATAATGGTACTGCCAGCAGGTCAGGTAAACAGCAGCTGGAGCAGCAGCGCCGGCAGTCAGAAGTTGTTGAACTACCAACAAAAACACAGGATGATCATACAGTACCAACACAGAAACGTAGTAGTACATTGGAAGTATTACATGATGCATTTGTTTAATAAAAAGCATATTCAGATTCTTTCTTCCTTTATCTTTGTCTTTTATTATCGTTTGTACACATTTGACAGCTTTTATTTTATTAAAAAATTCACACATTTTTAACACAAGAAAGTGAAACTACTAAAACATAATGCGTACACTCCAAGAGTGTTATAAAGATGGCAAGTTATAAAGAATAAAGCTCTTCAACAAAGTTGCAGTTCATAGGCACGCAACAGGTATATATGTATACATATACATATAAATTTTTCAAAGAAAAGAACAAAAAACACTTCGTCGTTTTGTCATTGTAGTATTAAAATGTCGTTGGAAGGATTATATAACGAAACTACAGTACAAATTCATTTTAAGAAATGTGTTTGAAAACATTAAAAAGAAAAAAAGATTTTCGTTTACCGAAGTTTGATCTACCTAGGCAGCATCAGTAAGCGAGAAACACTACGTCCGCTCTAGAGCCAAGAGCAAGCGAGGTTCTCCGAAAGTTTCTTTTTTTAAACTTCTTTCCACTCTAATATAATGTATTCTCGAGCCGCAATTTTCTTTTTTTACATCAGAGTTTATGTAAAATAACATTTAATTTTTTGTATAGTAACTACAGGTCTTCAAAATACTTTTCCTGCACAAGTGACGGAAAGTTTTTTCTAGTTAAAACTTTAACTGATCAGCCTCGTCGGTGGGAGGAACCAGCTCTAGATATCGACGTAAAAATGAAAAACTTTTAAAATCTTTTTTAAAAGTGCATAGTTCAAGAATATAAGAATAGGATTTCATCAGTGCTCTATGAGTGCTGTTATTTAATTCTAATATTTAATGTTACGTATTCCGCACAATTCTACTACGAAATCTACATTGCCACTGACATCTATTAACAAGAAGGCAAATGGTGATCTGCTACCATGCAAGACTAAAATTTTCTAACGAGAGAAAAGCATGCATCAATTTTAAAAACAACTTCAAAACAATCGTACCTGATGGTGGTAAATAATGGACATATCAAAATACGTATAAGTTTTCCAATGAATGAATAATAATCCATGATAGGAAAAATGGACAAAGTAGGAACAAAAAGATGAATGCAACCTAGAAATAAAATAACACACAATCGTATATATTGGAAGGTGTACTCACTCCCAGAAATAAAAAGAACATTTCGTTTCCTCCAAGCAGAAATTCAAAGTTTCTCTTGTCTTTTTGCCCAACGGCGAAAATGTTTTCTTAAACTGCCCTGACGTGCTTTTGCAATCTTTCAAAAGCTATACAGCATTTATTTCTCGTTTGCATTCAAAATCCGTATCTTTTCTGAAACTACAATATTTAAAAGAAATGCGAAAAATCATGACACTGGTTTTTATGCCCACACAGACACATACTATCACATAAAAAGATAACTGTAACCAATAGAATATGTTCGATAGGTCCCTCATACTCATTTTCGGATGCGTCAAAGGCGAGTGTCTATTCTATTCCATTTTCATCCAATCCAGTCAAAAATAGGTTTCTGACCAATACAATGCGTGCTTGAGGTCCCTTATACTCATTTTCAGTTTTCTCATAGTCGATTATCTATTCCCTAGAATATTTTATATAATTTATTAGTAGATCCACTATAACGTCAGGATAAAGATCATCCTTGCCTACTTCTAATGTAAACCGATATCAATGAACTAAAAATCAAATATACACTAAGTTGTTATAAAGCGGTTATCTACGGTTACGGTTAACCGGTTATTTGCAGTTACGGTTAACCGTTCGAACGGTTATTTACGGTTACGATTAACAGTTAATAACCGTAACCGTTGCATGCATAAACAAAACTGATTGCGTCCGAACCAAGTTGAGGTTCTTCATAGCCCATGAAGGCCTACATTTTAAAAATTGTCGCATTCAAAAACGTTTTAGCACCTCAAGGGGTTCCGTCGTTGTGTTGTAACCCCAATGTTTCTTTCAGAACGAGAGTTAAAAATCTGATAAAAACCTAGACTAGGTGAATTAACACATTTTTGGCTATTTCCACCATAAGTTAAAAGCTTGATAACTCAGTCAAAATCGATCGAAATTTTTCAAAGTTTCAACAATCAATAGACGTTACATACTATAATTTGCTACCTTTCTATTTATGGTTCTTGCACCAATTCCCTGCTTTTGAATAAGTTCTCACATGATTTGTGATTCCTTTTGGTTTGAACTGTTCACCACAATCAGGGCATTTGTATTGATTATTTAGGTTTTTCATTAACACTTCTGTAACTTTACGCTGAACCACCACTCCTGCTACTGCTAACAATTCTTGCTTTCTTCTTTTATCTGCACGTTTTTTATACTTGTATACAATGTCTTTGATACCACTGTGTACTGGACAAGTCTGCACATTTCTGTTAATGATTTAGAGCATTTCTTTTATCATTTGAGAGCCTATCACCTAGATTCACACCAATGACTGATCGTAGACATTTTATATAGAAACTGTGTACTCTACGTTCGTGCGATACTATCAGAGCCCAAGCTTCACTGGCATATAAGAGAACACGAAGCACACAGCCGTGAAAGACTCTTAATTTTACAACGATTGCTATTGTTTTGCGAGACCAAATGACATGTCTCAGCGTATTAAATGTCGTAGCAGCTTTCGCTAATCGAATGTCGATCTCGTTATCTGACCGTTGATCACTAGAAATATTGCACCCGAGATAAGTGAAGGACTGAACAATTCCAATATTCTGATTACGTATGGTGATATTCAAATCGGGATGCAAAACTATTTGATTTCTGATGACTTTCCAATTGTTATGCTTTCCTAACTGTTGCAAAATCATGATATTTGTCTTTTCTACGCTCATTGTTAAACCAAATTCTTGTGTGACTTTTTCAAATGTTCTATACAACCTTCCCTTGCAAAGTGATAGAGTTTACAAGAAAAGCCCTAAATGTTCATTGTCACCTCAGAGCTACAGAAAGAAAAATGAAAATGAATTTAGGGCTTTTCTTGTAAACTCTATAACTTTGCAAAGAAATGTCGTGTAGAGCTGGGAGATGCCTCGTTTCAATCAGAAATTGATGGACTACAATTACGCTTCATTACGAAAGCTTTTGGTTGTTATTTAGAGTTTCTCGAAAACTGGTTTTCCAGAAGACCGGTCTTTGAAGGCCTAGCAGCAGCATTCATGGTGATATTCGGAATCAACATCGTCGACTACCTATAGTCCACTCGGTTTCGTTGAAAAAGCGATTTATCAGTTGGG